AGTAACCATCTAGATAGCAGAAATATGAATGTTTGGCTAATCTTTCCAACATTTGGTCTATGAAGGGTAACGGGAAGTGATCTTTGCGCGTAGCCTTGTTAAGCTTCCTATAATCAATACACATCCTACTTCCAGTCACGACTCTTTTTGTTATCGATTCGCCTTTTTCGTTTTTAACTACTGTTACTCCTCCTTTCTTTGGTACGACATGAACTGGGCTAACCCATTCACTATCGGAGATCGGATAGATGATTCCTGCATCTAGTAATTTCTTTACTTCATCTCTGACTACAGTGCTCAGGATGGGGTTTAGCCTTCTCTGATGCTCTCGAGAAGTTTTAGAGTCTTCCTCTATTGTAATTCGATGCATACAAATCGAAGGGCTTATACCTTTTAAATCGCTTATGTTGTAGCCTAACGCGGTGGGGTACTTCTTTAGGACTTCTAATAACTTTTCGGTTTCTGGTTGTCCTAAGTCGGCGTTGACTATCACTGGTCTTTTTAGTTCATCGTCTAGAAATTCATATCTGAGGTTTTTGGGTAGAGTTTTAAGTTCTAAAGATGGGTTCTTCGGACCTGGCATATGGTTTGGTGTCAGTGCTAAGCTTTCGCTTAGGCTGTCGTCTTTATACGGTTTACGCCAATCGTCGTCTTCAGAAATGTCGGGTATTTGAATCTTTATTATTTCTGAATACGTGGTCTCCTCATTTTCAAGTTCTCTTATGCATTCGTCAATTTCATCTACTACATAGCAGGTATCGTCTATGGCTGGTGCTTGTAAGAACTTGGTGAGAATGAACTCTATCTTTTCTTCTCCTACTTCGAATGTTATCCTTCCTTTCTTCACGTCTATAATCGCTCCGGCTGTAGCTAGGAATGGTCTTCCTAGGATAATTGGGGTTACAGTGTCCTCCTTGATGTCCATGATTATGAAGTCGGTTGGAATGTAGAATTGTCCTATGCGTACTGGAACGTTCTCCAGTATTCCAACGGGGTATTTTACTGATCTGTCAGCTAATTGTACGGACATTTTGGTTGGCCTGAGGTCTCCCATATTCAGCTTTTTGCATATAGATAAGAGCATAACACTGATACTGGCTCCTAAATCGCATAGAGCTTTATCTATTACGAACTTTCCTATGACGCAGGGTATGGAGAAACTACCTGGGTCTTTTAATTTAGGAGGCATGCAGTTTTGAATAATAGCGCTACACTCTGCAGTGAGTGTAATTGTTTCGTTATCCTCAATCTTTCTCTTATTCGACAGGATCTCTTTGAGAAATTTGGTGTATGACGGCATTTGAGTTATCGCTTCTGTAAAGGGAATAGTAATATTCAGCTGTTTAAGGAGCTCTACAAATTTCTTAAACTGTCCTGAAGTTTTAGAGTTTATTAGTCTTTGCGGATAAGGGATAGGTGGTTTATATGGCGCTGGAGGTGTTTGAGTTTTTTCACTCGCGGTTTCCTCCTTCTCGTTGTCTTCCTTCTTCTCTAACTCAGATTCCTTTTCTGCTTGTTCAGTTGGTTTCTGTTGCATGGCTGAGTTTTCGGTCCTCGGATCGATCGGTTCGTCCAATTCTTTTCCACTTCTTAGTATCACAGCATTTGCTTGGCCTTTGGGATTCTGTTCGGGTTGTCCAGGAAATGTGCCAGCAGGTGCGGCAGCAGATGCTTGCTGTTGAGCCACTTGTGATATCTGAGTTTCTAACATTTTGTTGTGGGTGGCCAAAGCGTCTACTTTTCCTGTCAACTGTTTAATCTGCTCGCTAGTGTGTATGTTTTGATTCAGGAACTCTTTGTTCGTCTGAGCTTGAGTAGCTATGAACTTTTCCATCATCAATTCGAGGTTTGATTTCCTAGGTGCATTCTGAGCAGCTGGTTTTTGATATCCTTGCGGAGCAGTAGGCATTTGCAATGCATTTTCGCTTTTGTAAGAAAAGTTTGGATGATTTCGCCAACCTGGGTTGTATGTATTTGCGTAGGGATTTCCTTGAGCATAATTTACCTGGTCTGGCGTGATTCCGGCTAGCAATGGGCATTCGGGTGCATTATGAGTGGTGCTTCTGCATAACTCGCAATTTGGAGTTACTGCAGCGACAGTTGCAGTGGGGTTAACGGTCAGACTATCGATCTTCTGTGCTAGAGCATCTACTTTAGCATTGAACTTTTCAAGGCTGCTGATTTCGTACATCCCACCTTTCGCTGAGGTTTTCTCATTTGGAGTGCGTTCACCTCCCCATTGGCAATGGTTTTGTGACATGTTTTCTATTAGTTGATAGGCTTCATCGTATGGCTTATCCATAAGTGCACCGCCTGCGGCAGCGTCTATGGTTAATCTAGTATTGTATAGAAGTCCATTATAGAAAGTATGGATTGTCACCCAGTCTTCTAGACCGTGGTGAGGACATGTTCTCATCATATCTTTGAATCGTTCCCATGCTTCGTAAAGAGATTCATTATCTTTCTGTCGAAATCCGTTGATTTGAGTTCTAAGCATAGCAGTTTTGCTTGGTGGAAAATATCTCGCTAAGAAGACGTTCTTCAGTTGCTCCCACGTCGTAACGGAGTTGGATGGTAACGATTGTAACCATGTCCACGCTCTGTCTCTAAGAGAGAATGGGAAAAGACGAAGTCTTATCGCGTCTGGAGTTACTCCATTTGCTTTCACTGTGTCTGCGTATTGTACAAACTTCGTTAGATGTTCGTTCGGATCCTCAGTTGCGTTTCCTGAGAATTGGTTTTGTTGTACAGCCGACAGCAATGATGGTTTCAGCTCAAAATCATTTCGGGTAATAGCTGGGGCAGCAATGCTACTTCTAGGCTCCATCTGAGATGGTGTAGCGTAAGCCTTCAGCGGTTTGTTCGGAGGTCCTTCAGCCATCTTTGGTTCTTCTTCGGATTTGGGAATGGGAGTGAGAGGATCAGGAATGTTATGTTTGAGTTGGTACTCAATGATTCGGCTTCTTAGATGTAAGAAGCGTTCTAGTTCTGCGACCGAAGGTTTCAAGATATCGCTTTGTGGGCGATCACTTGGCATACAATCGACAACACTAGTAAAGGAAAAATGAAAATTGTTTACCTAGTCTATACGGCGTAACAGAAGGTTATACTATTGACTAAACGGTTCCCCGACAACGGCGCCAAAAACTTGATCGCGACTTTCTATGTATAATACAACTAACTGCAAGTGCACAGTCTATCGCGTAGTAATAAAAAATATTGATCCCACAGGGACTCGTAATCAAACTAGTGTTCTCGGGAGTTACTATGTTTAGCTAGGTAGAATATGTTTTAAGGGAATAATGTTGTCACTAAAAAGGGAAACTAAGATTACTATTTAGATTTTAATTAATCGAATCGATACGTAGTAATTATGTTCTTCAGGGATTTGATAAGTTACTGGTGTATGAAATAGTTTTCGCAGTTTACTTAAGCAGAAAGTGGAGATTTGAAGACTCTCGTCTCACGATGGTTATTGACGCTAATCATAATCCTAAGGGCCTAACGTACACTTTCGTGTTCCGTTCGGGGTTAAAATTACTTTTTGGAAATCTCTAAGTTCTAATTAGTTTTAAAGTGCTTTCGTTGTTATTAAAACAAATGCCTAGTGTTTACTATCTGACCTTACCGCAGCTTTCGCTTGTTGGTTCGTATCTTAATTAATTTCCCACTTTCGTGGCAAAACTACTTTAAAACAAGTTCTCGCTTTCGCGACGAAGTTTATTTCGTAAATCAATTTTTAAACACTTAGACCATAAGTTATTTTTGTGAAAAGAAAGTTTTCAAACAAGAGTTATCAAATCCCACCCGAATTATTACTACATATCGATTACCTAAGTTTAGCTAGACATAGAATTTGGAAAAACAAAACATAAATAATAATAATAAATAATAAATTGCATTATGATAAAATAAGAGTCGATCAAAATGAAAACCGGTAAATAATGCCAATTGGCCTTTGGGCAGATCCTCCACAGATGTTGGCAGGATTCTGTCTTTAGTTCCAATTTGATCGTACAGTGCAGTAACAAATACAGTAGAGCGGAAATGGGAATGAGTAGAATGAAAAGGGAAATAAAGGAAAAGGGATACAATTGAAACTGGAGAAATGGATACAAATAATTAAAAAAAAGCTGGAAATTAAATTTGCTCTTGAAAATAAATTTGGGCAGCACTTCGTGGTATGAATGCAGCTCCCTTTTTGAAGTCCCCTGCTTCCCTTTTTATAGAGGTGGGATTCCAACGGTTACCTCTGAGGATGGTGGACCTTGAGGCAGATAATTTAGGGAGTAGTGGACCATGAAATGGGAATTGGAACTGCTCTTTTGACGTGTAATCTGAGTGGGGCGTTTTTGCCTGCATGACGGTCGTCACAAGGTGTGACGGTCGTCACCCGTATGACGGTCGTCACCCGTGTGACGGTCGTCACCCGTGTGACGGTCGTCATGCATCTGTGACGGTCGTCACATCAGCAAAAACTGTCTGCTGCGCTTTTCATTGTGTTTTCACTCCTTTTTCGTCCATATTTCATATGGGATTGCTTCTTTTCTTCATGTTGCCTTGTTTAGACGTGATCGTTGAATACCTGCAAAAACATCAGACAAATACATGGAAATAACCCAAAATCGGATCGAAAACGGTTAGCTTTTAGTCGAATTATGCATGAAAATATCTATATGATTTCGTGTTATCAGGGGGGGCCTAAGAAAGCGCTTTCCAAAAGCGCTGCTAAATGGGGGGTCTAAGAAAGCGCTTTCTAAAAGCGCTGCTAAAGGGGGGAGGGAAGGGGGGAATAGGCAGCGCTTCCAAAAGCGCTGCTAAAAGGGGCAAAAAGCGCTGCTAAAAATGCTGGAAAAGTAGCAGCGCTTTTTCCATTAAAAAAAACGTTGTCTTTACCTTTAGTAGCGCCACTTTTGGCAGCGCTTTCAAGCGCTGCTAAAGGCCAAAAAAAAGCGCTGCTAAAGGTCTTTTTTGGCATAGTAAAAGTGGGAAGTAACCCTATGAGGCTTGACAGCTGGCGTTTTCTTGTGGACAAGGTCAAAAGAAGGCTTAATTCTTGGAGTAGTAGACAATTATCTCTAGGAGGAAGAGTTATTCTTATTTATTCCACTTTAAATTCTATCCCTATTTTTAGTCTTTCCTTCTATAGGATCCTTATTAGAATCAAGAAAGAACTGAAATTTGTCTACCAAAACTTTTTGTGGGGTGGGATAGAGCTCAAGACGAAGGTTCATTGGTTGAATTGGAGATTGATTTGTAGCAAGAAAGACAAAGGAGGATTAAGAGTTAAAGACATTGACTTATTTAATAAAGCCCTCCTTTCTAAGTGGAAATGGAGGTTCTTGGTTGAAGATAATTATATTTGGTTTGAGTTGATTAAATTCAAATATGGGAAGTTTGCATGTGATTTTATGGGTGATGCATTTTTTGATAGGAGAATTAAGGGATCGGTATGGTGGAGGGATTTGAGGAAGGTGGATCTTGATAAGGTTAACAATTTTTCTTGTTTGGCAGGTAACATTCAGTGTTCAGTTGGGAATAGGAATAAAATCCCATTTTGGCAGGCTATTTGGCTTGAAGATCAAAGCTTACTCAATAGATTTTCTAAAGTCTTTCAAGCAGCTTTCATGAAGGAATGTGAAATTGATGTTGGTGAATGGATTGAAGACTGTTGGGTGTGGAACCTTGAGAAGATTTTGCTTGTTAATGGTTCTAATATTTCTAGCAGTGTTTCTGATTTAAAGGACGTGTTGTCAAACTGTAGCCCAAGTCTGGTGTTAGCACAAAATTTTTGCTGGAAGCCTGATCCATCTAAAATATATTCAGTCCATAGTTGTTATAATCAACTCCTATTCTTGTCTGCTGGTTCTACTATTTTAGATTCTTCCGAAGTAGAGGCTTTATCAAAAGTGTGGAGGAACAAAATCCCATCAAAAATTAAGTTTTTTTAATTGGAAGTTGTTCCTCAATAGATTACCTAGCAGAGATTAGCTCAATAGAAGAGGTATTTTAACTAATCCACATGATTTACTTTGTGTCCATTGTTTTTTAGAGGATGAAAATATCAAGCATCATCTGTTCCATCATTATATATCTAGAAATATATGGAAAGGGGTGGAAAATGGTTAGAGTTTGGAATCTCCTTTGAAGAGGATCAACCTAGTTAGTTGTACTTGAATCACTTCAAGAAGAAGTTGACAAAGAAGGTGAAAAGAGACTTTTGAAGGACTCTTTTGGTGGGCCATTGTTTGAAACATTTTGACAAAGAGGAACATTAATCTTTTAAGGAGAGATAGTTAATGTGAATGATATAATTTTAACCATTAAATTATTAGCTTGGAGATAGAGTGCTCTAGGAAGGAATATTTATCATATTTGTAACTTTCAAAGACTTTTATACTGCTCCCATTGATTGTCTTATGTAATTTTTATTTTGCCTTTTAAATATATTATAATGACTTGTTTTGGATTAAAGCACCCTAATGCTTAATTCCACTTTTTGATTATATAAAATAAATAAAGTTAAAGATATTGACATTATTTATATTATCTTTTTGTAGTACATTTTTGGTCATTGGAGTATTAATAAATGATAACATTTAGTTTTAAAGCTGGTCTGTCAAATTTCAAAATATCTCAGTAATAATTTTTCATTATAAAAAATATGGAGAATGTTTTTTTATCATTAATTAACCAAAATGATTTTAATGAACTTTAATGCCCCACTATTTAGTATTGAAACCAAAATAAATGTTAAGTTTTACTATTGGACCTAATATTTCAATTCTACTATCCAAACTAATCAACTTTCAAATTTTTAACAAATTTTTTAAGATAATTCAGTTTCAAACAGAGAAATGTCAAAGCAATTCACATTCGCTATAAATTTTAATATGGCACGTCAATTTATGAGAGTATTTTTATTTTATAACGTATATTTTGGTTTCCTAGGATTTTTTACAGATTTTTTTTCTGTGAAATTTCATGCAAAAATTCAAAATATATGTTTTGAAAAATATGAATTTTGTTAAAATTTGCAAGAAATTTCATAAAATATTCTTTTTCGTAAGAAAAATTTAAAAGAAAATCTACATAAAACTAAAATATGTATTGTAAAATATGTCATTTTGATGTAATTAGTTCACCTATTAAAATTAGAAGAATGCGTCAATTGCTTTGGCACGGTTTTTTTTAAGTGAGGTGTATTAAAATTTTTGTTAAAAATATGATTACTTTGAGTATTTAAATGAGAATGCTGGGTACCTTGGTAAAAAAATCTAAAAGGTTGTCGGTGCAATGAATATTACAATGCAGTTATTATGATTTTTCAAGAAAAAATATGAGTTGTATTGAACATGTAAAATAATTTTACACTGTTATCAAATAAATTTAAAAAAATAAGAGTCAAATTCTTAATCTCAAGTTAAAAAGAGATAATTGATTAAAGTTAAAATTGAGATTGTGTCAAAATTGAAAAGTTTATGATACAAAAGTTTTAATGGCGGCGTCTCATACACTATCCATCACCATCTCGGAAAATGAACACAAGCTCGGTGTTAAAGTGTTCAAGTATCATCTCCATGGTAGAATTATTTGGGCCAATAGCACAACTCCTCTGACAGTTGCTTCTTTAAAACTTAAATTGTTAGAAGTATGGTCTTCTGTTAAATAACGGGGAGTAACATCTTTGGAAAAAGGTTTCTTCGAATTATCTTTATCATCCCTTGAGGATGTTTATCATTTTAGGTATATAAACTCTTGGAATCTGAATGTTTGAGTCTTAAAACTTTTCCCTTGGACTAGGGAATTTGTTCCTTCTACTTAAAAACAAACTTCTTCTCAGGTCTGGATCATAATTCATGGCCTTGCTAAGGAATATCGACGATCCCATATCATTTTTGCAATTGCTAGCAGTGTTAGAACCCTAATTTTCATTGATTCAGCTTCAAATAAACCTTCATTTGATAGATATTTTGGTCATTTTGTAAGGGTATTGGTTGATTTGGATCTTACAAAAACACTTAGTTTCAAGATTATTGTGGAACAAGTTGGCTTCGCTTTTCTGTGGATATTGAATATGAGAAAATTCTGGAAGTTTGCTCACATTGCACCTGTATTGGACACTCGTTGGCCAACAGCAAGAGAAAGGAACTTCAACATGATAAAAGGGAGGAACCACATACTTTGAATCAGCATAATACTAAACAAGTTAGATTTATGCAGGTCAGGAACAACAATACATCAAAAGAAAAAACAACTGTGGATTTAGGAAAACAGCAGGACTCTAACAACAATGTTAATGGAAAAGGAACAAGTAGAGAGCAAGGTTTGGTGGTAAAGGTGATGGCAAATTTGTAGATGCCATTCAAGTGGTTGAAAGATTCCCTAAAACTCAAGTAATTATCGCTTTCGATAAATATAAGGTAGAAAACTTCATTGGAAAATCATGGACTAACTTGGCTAACCTTGATGATGAGGATAATTATGTTGAAGATGATGAATTGAAGGAAGGATTCAAAAAGGTTGTCAGTAGGAAGAAGAGCAAGAAAAACAACTCAAGGATGAGAGCAACTACTAGATCTAGGTCTAGTCCTTCTAACACTTCTCAATGAAGTGTGTTTTTTGGATCATCAGAGGTTTGGAAAACATCTCTTCTAGACTTGTTTTAAAGAGATTGTTGATTTCCAATAAGCCATATTTGATCTTTATAGTTGAGCCTTGGATGGATCATAATAACCTTCCTAATAACTAGTTGAGACATTTTGATCTTAATATTTTTGTTATTAACCATAGGCCTGAATTACTCCATAATCTTTGGTGCCTTTGCAAGACTTGGTTGGATCCTAATGTGATTTTCTGTGATGATCAACATGTTGTTTTCACATTAAGTCATCCTAAAAAATCTTTGGATTTCTCTACTATGTATGCTTCCACCAATTATATTCACAGAAGGAACATAAAGTTAAATTTGGCATTCTCGTTTTTTTTAAAGATATTTTGATTGGAATACTCTATTTAGATCTAGATTTCTTAGGCTCTTTTTCATTTTTTGATAAATTCATCGATCGTGTGAGATATAGGCACATGTGAAGAAGACGTTTGGATTAGGGAGCTTAAGTGGGGGAGGGACTTTCTCTTCGATCACATGCAGGTTCTTTAAAAAAAATTTACTCCCTCTTCTGATAGAGATGAGTGAATGTGATATCATTCTAAAGACGAGTCTTATTCTTTGGCAACCGCATATTCTTGCATTTTGACCCGTGAGCTCCTCTCAGACCACCAAATCACTAAGTCATTATCTTCTCCTAGCAGGTTCTGCAGGACCAATTCTCACTAGAGAAAACTTGCTTAAGACGGAGGTTCTTATGGACTCTGAATTATTCTCGCTCTCTTTTTGTTTATCTTACATTGAGTCATCTTCCTATATCTTTGTGACATGTGAGTTTGTGGCTACTATTTGGTATAAAATTTTCAATTCATTAGGTTGGTGTGTAGTTTTACATAGAGATATTTAGACCCTTTTTCTAGATGTTTCTCTTGCTTATTGGATCTTCTAGGGTTAGGGGACTTCTTGCTGATTTGGCATCTCGTGATTTGGTTGGCTTAGAAATATTATAATGACATTATGTCTTTGGTTCTTTGATGATAGTGAAAGACGTCGAAGATACGAGTATCTTCGTGGCTTGAAAATGGTATCTTTGTACCTATGTGGACAACTTTTGTGTTTTTTCGACTTGATTTCAGAATCATATTTTATTCTTAAGCCAATAACGATACGAATATCTTCTACCTTCCTTTAAATGTGTTCTTGTTGTGCAATTTAGGTGTTATTATTGTTGGTCTTGGCTTGGAAAGCTTTAGCTTGTCCCATTAAAGTGACTTTTGGTTGGTAATTCAGTTTGGGTTTTTCTTTGTTTTTTTAATGTTTGCTGCTCTAGTACTAGTTAATTAAGATTACAAATGAGAACATATACTCATTTCCAAATATAAAAAGAAATATAAAAAATTGAAATGATGTTTGTTGAAAATGTTGCAGACACTCAATTATAGAAGTGCTACAAAATCAAAGCAAAACAAAACATAAAAAACAAACCATTGTTATCACTCAATCTTATCATTGAAAAACATATACTCATTTCTTTAACTTTAGTGATTTTTCAAAATTTTTAATAGATTATGATTTGTCATTGAAAAACTCAAAAATATAATATCACAATTTTTTATCTTATGCAATCATCTACCGTAGAATTTTGGTGAATCGAAGGTAATACATATGGAGTAGGGTTCTTCGAGGAAATGTGTAAATATTTAAAATCAAAATAAATTAAACAATTAATTACAACTAAAGATATATTTTTATTTATTTTTCCATTTAAATACTTAATTAATCTTACCTTAAAGTCCACTCAATGTATACTTTCTCTGTCTCTATACATAAATATCTTTTACTTTTTTATAGTATATTAAAGAAAGTGTTCACAAAGATTAATATGTTTATTTTTTTATGTAGTTTTAAAAAATTAATTGTATTTATTAATGTATAATTTTTAAATTTTCAAATTCTAAAATAAAATAATATTATTATTGAAAACTTATTTAAAAGAAAAAATAATAATAAATACATCGAATAAATTACATAATCTTATATTAAAATTTAAAAAAATAAGAGATATATACAATTCTTGAGAAGAATCTTGTAAGTTGTAGCTATTTTAGAGTAATGTTTACATTAAAATATTTTCCTCTTAATAATTATATCCTCTGAGGCATTAATTATAATAATGTTAACTTCTTTTTAATGGCAACATTAATTTTCCCTTTGCTTATGTTCTTCCATAAAGATAGAACCATTAAACATTATCCACCTTTTTCCTATAGGCCTTTCCATAATAAAAAAATCTTTCTCAATTAGACATTTTTATGGTTATTAGCTTCAAAATCTATTATAAAA